CCCCTCCGATATTTATAAAGAAGCGGCTGGGGAGGCGGGGGAGCGCTTTGGCGGGCTGGCACCGGCGGGAGAGTTTAAAAAAGGGACCCTAAAAATGCCCCAAATAATTAAAAAATGGGGTTAATTAGGGGTTTGTTGCCAAAAATACCCCATTCCCGGCGAGGCTGGGGGGCTCCGGGGGTGCCGGGGGAGTTTCCCGGTGGATAAGGGTCAATCTTGGCATCCTCTGAGGGAATTATAACTTGGGGGGTCCCCTCTGACCCCCACTTTCCTTCGGGCGCTGCCGGTTTCGGGCGCAGCCCATCACCCCTGCGTCGGGGCTGGAGTTAATGAGAGCCAGGGGAGCCCCGGTGCTGGGCGGGAGCCGCTCCTGGGGGTTAATTAGCATTAATTAGTCTTATTTGTATTAGCCCCTAGAGGAGAAGATGCTGGATGGACGGACGGACGGACGGCGGGGTTTGGAGCCGGGTGGTTTTGGGGTCCTCGTGTCGCTGAAGGGCTCGGGGGGGTCCCAGCCCTGTGGGGGGTGGCGTGGGGACGGTCCCCAAGGGGCCCTGTCTGCAGGGACACGGGTGCACTGGGGGGTGCTGGGGGACACCCGCTGCCGTGCCCGAGCAGCCTGGGGGGCACCCGCCACTGCGCTTGGGGGTCCTGGGCCGCGGTGGCCCGCGGCACGTGGGGCACACGGTGTCCCCAAGGCACCGAGTGTCACCGCGAGTGGCTCAGCCCAGACGTGGCAGCGCCCCGCTGCCCCCCGTCCCCCCGACAGCCCGGAGCCCTTGGGTGCAGCCGGCCACGTTGGGGACCATCCCTGTCCCACAGTGTCCCCGGGGCTGGTGGCACCACCCCAGCGTTGTCACCGGGGTCGGTGACAGCGGCTGCAGCAGACCCAGTTGCCGGGGCCGGGGGCCGTGTCCCCCCCATGGTTCCCTGCTCCGGGGGCTGCGCCTGGCCATGGCCTGGGGAAACTGAGGCACAGAGCAGGACAAGGGGAATGAGGCCATCGCGGGGGGGACGTGGTAGCAGCCCCCACCTCCTCTGCCGCCGCGGTGCCGGGAGCGGCTCAGCCCGGCCCTGGCGCTGTCATTTATCTTCCCTGGTTAGCGCGAAGGGCTGGCGGGCGCGAGGTGACGAGGCGGCTCCTTAACGAGGGAAGACGGATGGCACCGGGTGGCTCTGGCTGCAGCCAGGAGGGATGATGGCGGCAGAGCCCGGCGCCAAACGGCTTCTCCTGGTTCTCCTTCCCCCTTGCTTCTTCCCCCCCTCCTCTTCCTCGGCATGACCCCAGTTGAGGCAGCATCCCCCGGAGACTGGGGTGCTGTGACCGACTGAGATTCACCATGTCCCCCCCCAGGGATGGGGACCCTCGTGGCAGCTGGGTAGACAGAGGGTGACTTTTAACGGGGTGACAGTGTTGGTGACGGCACAAGGGATATGGCTGCATGGGTGAGAGCAAGCCCTATGGGACCAGCTGCTGGGCCATCAGTAGGTTCCAGAGTTAACGGCTTCTGGCTGGTGGGTTACCACGACAGCACAGGCTGCCTGTGGAGTCGGGGAGACGCCGCTGCGATTCCCGAGGAGAAGAGGACCCCCAGGACCCCTGCCCCAGGGGTAGAGGACAGGAATCCATGGGGACACCCCTCCTTCCCCCGCCAGCTCTGGGACCTGCAGCCGCTTGGCGGTGCTCACCCAATTAAGAGCCTACTCTCATGGGTTATAATTAGGAGCGTCTTCTCCCCGCTACATCGCTTTTGCATTTCACTTGGGATTTTACCTGCCGGCTTGTCACTGTCACCCAGCACCGCGCGATCTCCCTGCAAGGCGCCGGTGTAGATTTGATTACCCAAATAATTCTGCAGCGGCAGCGGGCTCCAGCCACGGAGCTTCTTTGCCAGGTGGTTACGGCACCTCCGGCTCTGCCGGCACCTCCTGGCCTTGTCCTCCGGCACCGAGGAAATATTTATCAGCGGGTTGGTATCCGGGTGAGCAGCAATGGTTGTTTTTTGGGGGATTTGAGCTCAGCCGGCTCAGCCCTGGCCACACACTCGTGGTCCCCATGAAGCTCGTGGGAAGATGCGCGGGGATGTGGCAGGTTCATCGTGTCGGTTCAGGGCTGGGCTGGGAGACGTGGTCCCGTGTCCAAGCCGTGGTCCTGCATCTGAATCGAGAGACAGGGTCGTGTGTCTGAGCCGTGGTCCTGAATCCAGAGCCAGGGTCCTGTGTCCGAGCCGTGGTCCAACATCCTAATCGGGAGCCAGGGTCCTGTGTCTGAGCCGTGGTCCTGCATCCAAATCCAGAGCCAGGGTCCTGTGTCCAAGCCGTTGTCCTGCATCCGAATCCAGAGCCAGGGTCCTGTGTCCAAGCCAGGGTCTTGCATCCGAATCCGGAGCCAGGGTCCTGTGTCTGAGCCATGGTCCCAAATCCGGAGCCAGGGTCCTGTGTCTGAGCTATGGTCCCACATCTGAATCCAGAGATGAGGTCCCATATCTGAGCCGTGGTCCTGCATCTGAACCCAGAGTCGGGGTCCCATGTTGGAGCTGTGGTCCCACATCCGAATCTGGAGATGGGGTCCTGTGTCTGAGCTGTGGGCCCGTGTCTGAATCTGGAGCTGTGGTTCCACGTCCGTGCCACGGTCCCACATGCGAACCCGGAGCTGTGGTCTCGTGTCTGAGCCATGGTCCAGCATCTGAACCCAGAGCCGTGGTCCCACATCCAAACTGTCGTCCCACGCCTGAGCCTGCCGACTCAGGGAGGGGCTCTGGGCGATGCTCGGAGAAGCCACCTCCATCCGGGACCTGTTCACCCACGGGTGGGGATCCAGGGCACCCCACACTACCCCGGAGCTGGTGGGTGGTCTCCCTGGCTGTGGGTAAACTGGGACGCTGGGTATCCCATGGGATCCGAGGGCTGAGCTGTCCCCTGAGCCGGGTAACACGGGTGTCCCCTGTGCAGGTGCGGGCCAGCGCCATCGCACAGGATGCCGACCAGAACTACGACTACGCCAGCAACAGCGTCATCCTGCACCTGGACGCGGGGGACGAGGTCTTCATCAAGCTGGACGGGGGCAAAGCCCACGGCGGCAACAACAACAAGTACAGCACCTTCTCCGGCTTCATCATCTACTCGGACTGAGCCTGGACCCACGGCATCGCCCCATGGCCCTCCAGCCCCACCGCATCCCCCAGTGACCGCCCAGCCCCACGG